TGTGTGTATGTATGTAAAGAAATGCATCAAAATAGTAGAGATACCAAGAGTTTATGCAAAATTTGTTTGTGTGCATACTTATGTAATAAATTATGTTAGTCAACATTGGAGGGTCACTTTTTCTTCCTATAAAACTATGAACTCAAGTTTGACAAACATTGCTATCCTTTGTTTCACCTGGTGACCATATAGATATGGCTCATCTTCACAACTAATGTAAGATCCTTGAGGACAGAAGTAACGCTTGTGAAATCTGCACATGAGGGCGTCACAGAGCAGCAGACTTGGCTTTGCTTCCAGGACCACGCCTTAGACTCATCCAGCACATGAGCAAAATCATGCTACCTCAACCGATTGAGGTGAAGACTAAATGGAATCCCTTACATAAAATGCCTTTACCAATATGGAAGGTCAAGAGGTGCTCAATATGAGGTAGCTTTAGGTGTGACATGAGACTCCGTAAAGTCAGATGTCTTAGTTCCAAAAGCAGAACTAAGAACAGGTGTTTTTTTTTTCCCCTCTATCCAGGTGAACTTTCAACAGGAAACAGGATCACCAGATTGAAGGAAAGCAAAAACCAGATAAAAGTCTGTTTCCTACCTTCCCAAGACCCAAAGGAAGGAAAAAGGACCCCAAGTTCAGCGGGTAGGAAAAGAGCTCTTAGCCAGGCACAGTGGTACACGCCTGCAATCCCAGAGGCTCTGAGGCTGAAGCCGGAGGATTGAAGGTTGGAAGCCAGCCTCAGCAATTTAGCAAGACTGGAAGCAACCTAGGGACACCCTGACTCAAAATTATTTTTTTTTTAAAAAAAAGGGGGGGCTGGGGATGTTGCTCAGTGGTTAAGCACCCCGAGTTCAATCCCTATATCGAAAAAAGAAAAGAAAAGGAAAAAACAGAAAGCGGTCAGCTTTTGCCACTGCAGGCCCTGCTGTGCAGGTTCCCAGGGGGTTCCGTGGGAGCAGGCACTGGCATTGTTCCAGTGGAACAGAAGGTGTATATCCTGTTTGTTACTTTGGACTTTCCAATAGACCCATTTTGGAGCTGACTGGAAGATACTCTGGCTCTTGTTAAGAAGGGCCAGCTACCCACGGGTGATGCCCCAGGCATCCATATCCTTCCAGCTTTTTCAAGTCGCATTGTACCTATACCCACATTACTACTCTCTAACAACATCCATCATTGTGCTTAGACCTTACCTGAAGGTCTACAGCTTACCATTCATTTAGGTGACATCCTAAGGACGAAAGGGAGACAGTACTTTTTTTTTTTTTAATTGGCATCTTCTTCGAGCAAAAGTAACTTCACAAAAGAGCATTGTTCGAGGCCAAGATGTCATTTGAAATTTTTCACCATGAGTACGGCACTGGCACAGACCAATCAGAATGGATGCTTCAACACATCACAATAGATAAAGGCTATTAAAAACGAAACAAACAAAAACCTTGAGCGACCATGCCAGTATGCACAGGCTGAATCTTAGCCTTCGTTCCAGGGAGCCCTGCCAATAGGCTCTCCACAGTGTCTCACTCAAGAAACAGCTGCTGAGTGGGCGAAGGAATGGCTGAAAGGAGTCTTTTCCTTCCTTGTTGTCTTCACTGTTACCTAAATGGAATCCATGAGTGTCCATCCTTTGAGTAAAAGGCAGCAAAGCTCTGTTAGGAATGAAATATTTCCATGCAGAACACTGAGCTGGGCTTTCTGGATACACCTCCACCCTCCTTCTCCCCCAGAAAAAGCTTCATCTTGTCAAAGGATAATGGTCCCTCAATTGAGGTTGTAAGCTGCCTGGTGACCTAGAAATGATAGCTAAAAGCTGGAACTAATCATAGTCCAGTCAGATTGTTGCTTCACTATGAATTAAATAACACTTAGTCCTAACTGATGGTAGCAAGTGTCACCATTAACGTCGGAGCCTTCATTAGGAAAATAAATCTCCATCAATGCCATGGGGTGACGGGGAACTGAAAATTCTGACAGGCGAACACTTGATGTTGTTTTGTTCTTCATTTTAAGGCGGCAGGGCAGGGAAGGGGGCGGATGTCACAATTAGACATTCATGTTGCTTTAAAGAGCTATTTGAAAAGTAGACGGAGTTCTGAAATCTATTTTGGAGCAGAAGGGAGCCGAGCTGTTTGGTTTTCCAGGTGCTGGCCCAGTGGCAGCTCTTTGCCCCTCCAAGTTCACCCTGGCTCAGAGGGCTGTTTGCTCAAGGACCTGAGCTGACTGGTTTCACGAGGGGAGCAGATGTTATTACAAACACTAGAAGGTACGTGCACTTTCCAGAAACTGCCCGTTCCGTTCAGGGAGACACAGATAGAGCTAGCACAAAGTACAACTTGCCTAAACCACCAGTGAGAGTGATTTCAAAGCTTAAAAACCCCTCTGATTTAAATGTTTCTTGCTAAATAGATTCCTTTGGTGAGGCCGATACCTCCAGTACCCTGAGCCATATGCACGCTGCTTCTGAAGGCAGATGGGAATTCCAGTCGGGAGAATGCTTTTGACGGTCTGCTGGATGTGGAAAGAGTTCATAACGGAGTCGATGTGATGTTGTAAATAGATTAAGCACCCGCCATCTCTGCAGCTCAGTCCTGTGTTTGTTCAGCGCTGAATGAAAACTCCCTAATCTTGCTTAGGTTAAACATGATGAGGTCCCGAGGCAGATCAAAGGCAGGCTACTTTTCCCTTGGATATACATCCATGAAATGAAACGCCAGAGTTCATGAAGTTCAACAAAAACACGAAAGAAACGTGTAACGCGGACTAACTGCAAAACCCAACTAGTCGGGGACATAATGAAAAACGCAGGCCCGCCATGTGTCCAGGCTCACTCCTACTCCAGGGGTGTGGGCTTATGGGAGATGCAGACTCCAGGTTTTTGCCATTTGAATCAATTGAACAAATATATAATTTAAAAAAAAAAAAAACTATGATTTTTTTTTTTTTAAGAGAGGCTCCTTCACATGACACCGAATGCTTCTCAGGGTAACCCAATTTTGCCAAAATTTATCTCAGCTTCTTAA